ATTCTTTTGTACTTAGTATGGCGTGTTGGGGGATGATTGTCATTGAAAAATTTCAAATTTTAGAGAAAAAAAATTTAATTTAATACATTTAATTTTTTAATGTTATTACTGCTCCATAAACCTTAAAAGGCAGTCGGAACATTCAGGGTTTCGCCCTGATACGAGTAGTCTTGTTTGACTAAAAAGTCAAAAATGATCCGTTTTGGGGTAAAATTTTGGGCGTTAATTTCGCAAATTAAATTGCAACATATTAATTCTGCTAAATTTTTAAGCAAAAGGTGTCAACGCAATTTGATAAAAACGCGTTTTAAATTTAAAATTTCATGCCTTTTGTTCGAATAACTTGAATTAGCTTTGTATACGGTAAAAGTTATGCAAAGCAGTAAATTACTGTTATTTACGTATTATACATCAGGTAAGAGGTTACATAATTTCAAAGAGTTTTCAAGTTATTGAGTCACAGTTTTTAACAAGGAGGTAAAACTTGGTATTTAAATTGGTAGTACGTTTCAAGGGACTACTCTAACTTTCTTTTTTGATCTATAAGAAGTCTCTAAAAAAATCAAAAATTTCTGCTAAAGATGGACGTAATTACAACCGTGCAATTGAATTAATAAATTAGTTAGAAACTAGCAATTGCATCAGCAACAGGATGGCCATCATAATTCGGTTTGAGAAAGTGTTAAATCAGTATATTTCAAGAGTTGTTTGAAATGCATAATTTATACGCTATTAAATATTTAATAATTTAATGCACAAGTAGTGAAGTTGTCCATGCGGGACTAGTAGCTTTGTGAGGAATCTGTCTTTCATTTAGTTGGTGAACCAAAATTGAGGGTCGCAGTCGCCAGAATTGACCAGAGGGCCCTGATTGGTCCAAAGAACCCCGTTAGTCTTATTAGAATTTGAAAAATACCCGGTGAATTAATGCTACATTTGATTTTTCGATATGACCTCTGCGCTGTTTCTTTATAGCCCTGCAATAAGTTCATTTCTATGAAAAATGGCTCCACACCAGGAATGGAAAATAAACTTAGATCTATAAAATACGCGAAATTTTCGCATAAAATATTCTTTTCAATTTGTTCAGTCGTTCTTCTCATTTAGGTATCATTTACTTTGAATGCTTTTCAAGCTGGGTTGAAGCAGAATCAGATAGATTATTGCTTTCTTTTTGTCTGGTTGGATAATGACATAATAAGCTCCGAGCTGATCCCGAAATATGAATTTGAGTGTATAAATTTAGTTCATCAAATGTTGCTGGACAGAGAGATCAATCCTTTTTACTTTTAAAGAGAGATTGAGAGAAGTTTTTATCGGCCTACTAAGAGAGGTAGGCTTAAATGAAACAAATGCATGTCAAAGTATCAAAATAGCTTTTTACTGGCTCAGAAAAATGGAACTTAAGTAGATCCGAATGCTCCTCCAAGCATGTATTATATCTGAAAATTGATTCTGTATAGAATATGCATTTTAATTAAGACCATTTATCCACGGGGGAAAGGACCAACACAAGAGCTGTACAGCTCATCACGGCGAACCGCTGTTGTGCCCCTGTTTAAGAACTAACAGCAACTATGAAAGACAGGTCCCGCATGCTATAATTTTGGGTTCTTTTTCCTACCCCCCACCGGCTCTTTTTCCTTTTCCCCCCAACTCACACGACCTTCAATATATTAGTGTAACGAGTGGTTTTACGAGGTTGAGTATGAAAACCAAATATGTTTGTCGTGGCCTTATTAGTCTGTATGTATATTTTCATAGCAATCGGACAATGTAGTCAACAAATTTACATGTAAAAATTTGCAGGTGGGGGGGGGGGGGGGGGAAGAAAAAAGAGCCCCCCCCCCCACCTCACACGACCATCCATTTTATGGCCTAACGAGTGGTTTTACGAGGTTAATTATGAAGACCAAATATGTTTGCCATCATGGCATAATCAGTCTGCATGTCAATTTTCAGGACAATCGGCCAATGTGAACAAAAATTTTAATTATAAAAATTTTCAGGTGGGGGGAAAAGGAAAAAGAGCCTAATTTTGAAAACTAATTTGTGTATAAATTATTCATTTCAAAAATCGCGCGAAATATAATGATTCAGAAACTTTTTTTACTACAAAGTGTAATTACTACAGTGTTTATATCAAGAAATATGCACGCTTCAACTAATTTTACGGTTTAAAAACCATATTCGGGTTAACTTATTTGTCATGAAAACTCAATTTTGACTTTATTTTGGATTTTCCACCTGAAAATGTAGAGAATAAAACATAAAATATGTTTCCAAATGTACTGCGAAAGAGTTCTGAATGGCGAGATCAGAAATTTTAATCGATGTAAGAGCTCTAGGTGTCTTATTCTCAAGGGACCTTGTTATTTTCAAGGGACCACTCTATCATACTAGTACCCGGGATTGCATTTGTATTGCTGGTAATTGCTTAGATTAATGTTTCAATTCAATTTTTTTAAGTGAAACGCTTAATTTTGACTAAAATAGGCTATTATGAAAGTTAGTTTTAGTTCATGAAAAATCCATATTTGATCCCCCCTAGTTTGATTGGGGGGGTGGGGTGGGGGTTGGGGGTTGAGGGTTGAGGGATTGTACGGTTGATCCGAATTCGACTCCTCCTTTCGTAGTGTTTCACTTCAATTTTCGTTGACGCTGAAAATGTCCTTAAGCACCGACGCCAATCTTATGCCGACGCCTAATGTTTAAGGATCTATCGAGCGCAATGTTTGAAAAGGCCTTGATCGGTACTTTAAGATTCACTCATGCAACAATCAGAGCGAGATGAACTCGATTCAATTTTAAGACTAGACAGCACCTGCCCACTTTTTGTTCAAAATTTTGCATTTTTTAGATTCATTTCAGTCTGTAACGAAGCACTTAAAAACAGCAATCTCTAGGCTAAGAAAGAAACTTTTTGCTAACCGGTTCGGTCTAGGAATCAAATGGAATTGTGTCAACGTTTCATAGCTTGAAAAGCTTGCTTAGAAAAACTTAAATTTTCGCGAACCGATTCAGTCTATGATATAACATAAAATAATTCATAGCTTGAAAAGCTTGCTTAGAAAAACTTAAATTTTTGCGAACCGACTCGGTCTACGAAATGAATTGAAAAGTCAAAGTTTCATAGCTGGAATAGCTTGCTTAGAAAACTTTCACAAACTGATTCATTTTATGAAATAAATTGAATTATTTCTAAATTTCTTGCCTAAAAAGCTTGCATTACATAGAAAAACCTAAACTTCTTGCGAGCCGGTTCCATCCGCAAAATAAATTGAAATAATTTGAAGTTTCATAGCTTTGAACCTTGCTTAGGAAAACCTAAACTTTTTGCGAACCGATTCGGTCTACGAAATAACTTGAAAGAATTCAAGTTTTATTGACTTGCTTGGAAAATTTTAAAGCTTTTTGCGTACTGATTCTGTTTATGAGGTGAATTGAAATATTTCAAAGTTGCATAGCTCTATTAGCTTGCCTAGATAAACTTAAGTTTCGCAAACCGAGTCAGTCTATGAATTCACTCGGAAATTTTTTGAAGTCTCGTAGTTTTCGAAGTATCGAACAGTTTCAAAGTTTCGCATAGCTTGCTTAAACAAATTTTTCGTGAACCGATTTGTTTTATTAAATATCTTGAGTTATGTCAAAGTTTCATAGCTTGAATTTCCTGCTTTGGAAATTTCTAACCTTTGGCAAAAACGATTCGGTCTAAGAAATAGCTTGGGTTTTTTCGAAGTTCCTTGCTCCTTTAGCTCGCGAAAAAAAACTTAAAAACTGAAAAACCTGGAAATTACTTGAAAGGCTTCAATAGAAAAACAGTTTGCCATCCGGTTCATTTTTGAAAAAAAATTGAATTATCTGAAATTTCATAGCTTAAACAGCTTCCTCAGAAAAATTTACTTTTTGCGAGTTTTTTAGTCTAAAATAACTGGAAATAACTCATAGCTTAATAGTTTGCTTCGGAAAACCTATACTTTTGTGAACGGAATGAGTGTGTGCAATAGCTTAGAAGATTTTAAAAGTTTCATATTTTAAATAGCTTGCATAGAAAAACTTGAACCTTTTGTGAACCAGTTCGTTCTGTGAATTAACTTGAAAAGTTTTATTTCATAGCTTCCTTAGCTTGCTAAGAAAAAGTTTAAATTTTTGCCTAGCTTGCCTAGAAAAACTTAACTTTTTTGCTAATTGAGTTAAGTTGCGTCATTCGATTTGCTTCATGAAACATTTTGAAATATCTCAAAGTTTCATAGCTTGCTTAGGAAAACTCATTTTTGTCAGGAAACGATTCGTTCTGTGAAACCTAAAGTTTTTCAAACCGATTTATGAAATGGCCTAACTTGAAGTTGTTCTAAGTTTTTTTTACGTTGGATAACTTGATCAGAACAGCAACTAATTTTTTGCGAGCTAATTGATTATTCAAGGCGGGCTTGCTAGTATAAAATAATTTTGAGGGGAGCGCGCGCCTATAAAACGCATTTTTTGGCAAAACCTGCCAAAAGTTGCCAAAAACGGGTAATTTTGACCTGTTTGTTCCGCCAAAGTTGCCCGCGAAAAAAAATTGTTGACTAATCAGGGTATTTATAGTGTTTCGGAGAGCTCGGATGATATATTTGGTCAACCTCAAAGAAAAAAAAGTCGACATAATTAATTATGTCCCCCTAGAAAATGCAAAGAGCCGTGAAGTTGCAGCGTAGATCAGAAATTCAAAAGTTTACGTCTTTGAGTGTTTCCGTTTAACAATAACTAAAATGTGCCTATTTTGTAACTGAATTCAGTTTCTCTTTTAAATTTAATTAATAATATTTGACTCCGTGGTACCTTAGTGTTTCTGAGCAAACGAGGTTCTAGAAGTTTCCAAGTAGAAATGAATAAAAAGTTGCCTACGAGAGAAAACAACAAACATCTTTCAAAAAACTCACCAGAGACTAACTTGTTTCAAGCATCTAACTGCAGTACAAAAATAGGTTGGAAGTATAGATAATTTCGGACTGTTCCAGGGCAGAACAGCACTGCACTGGTCCTGCAGCCTGGGACACCTGGACGCAGTGAGGCTGCTGGTGAAGTGCGATGCATTCCCAAACTATATGGAGTTCTCAGAGGAGAGGTACACACCGCTCGACTACGCCCTGCTGAACAGTCACCACGAAGTGGCCCAGTTCATGATTGAGAATGCTGGCGCACTGTCCATCAATGGAATCAGAGACATTGCCGCTTCCAAGATACAGGTAACAGTCAAAATCAAGACGAAAACTTTGAAATTGGAAAAAGTATAGAATGGGAGAGGGTCCGGACCAGGACCAAGTGAACAATATTAGGGAGGTTTCACTTGGTTGAAAGCAGTCTTTTCCCCAGCCAATCAAATTTGAGTATTTTCAGAACCTACTAGTACATCCAGACCTTACTGCTCGAGTTTGCCCTTTAATTTAAGGGGTTGGGCAGATTGTTCAGTTGCTCTATTAAGGGGGAAATGCTTCACAATGGCCGAGGGTCTCGCAGCTGTTTCAGATATTTACACCAGCGAGCTTGCTACGTATTGTCAATCGTTCAATCCACATTTTTCAACAATTTGCTCGTTTTGACGTACATCTTTTGGTTCAAAATATAATGTGAGATTCATCTAAATGCATTGCAAATACAGAAATTGGTTTGGAAAAAGAAATACCGAGTCTTTTTACTGATTCCGCCCAAATATCTTAACTTTGCGGTTTTCTATTATGCAATGTATAAATGCAGCGAGCAAAACACTGATAGCTCTGATTGGTTTGGTTAATACAAATGCGATGACTTTATCGTTAAGCCGATTTCTAACTTGGCCGAATTTTGAGCTGATGTGAATGAGGGCATTTGTTTCCCTAAAGCTATTTTGAAATAAAATTTGAATAGCTAACCAAACATTTTATATTTTGGTCAATTCGGTTTATTTATAAGTCGACTTAAAAATGTGAACAAAATCTTTTTTTTCTAACCTAACTCGCAAATAAAAATGTTCATTAAAATTGTTCACTTATTTGGTTGCACTTTTGCTATAATCACAATCTAGCATTGGAATTTTCATAGCATCTTTTCTCTGCTTTATTGGCTGGTGATATTTCAAGCGTCCGTGGCTGAGTGCTTAATGTGGGAGTTTTGCAATCTCTAGGTCGCAGATGGAATCCGAGACGTAGCCGAATTTTTTCTAATTCGAGGCTTATTTCTATTTTTTCTTTTTGCACTTTATAGAGATGCTTTTGTCGTGTTCTCGCTAGTGTTTGCGAAGCGCAGCTTTGTCTCGGTGTATAGTTTTAGTGATAGAATCATCAAAAATCTGGGATCATGTTAAAATCTTTACACCCCCAAAGTAGTTGGGGGGGAGGGAGGAAGGGAGGTTTTAACTTGTTTCAAAATTTGAAATTTCAGCCAATCAGAATCGAGCTTTTTACATGCAGCTCTGGCTCTTTTCCATTTTCACCCCACATTTCATTTTTTCCTTTTCTCAGTTGTCTTGCTTGTTATTATAGCTGAATGTTATGTACGATGTAATGTGCGAAGATCAAATATGTTTACCATAGATAAATTTTTCACCATGCGAAAATCATTACATTACGAAAACTGAAATTCAAAACTGAAATTCAATGTGAAGGAAAGTGGGAAGAAGCTGCAGAGCTGGGGAGCGGTGGTGAAGTGGTTACGTCTCCGCCTCTCAATCGAAAGGTCGGATGTTCGAGGCCCACCATGATCCGTGCTCGTTGCTTGAGGGTGAAGCAACATTACCCAGCCCAGAAAAATAACCAAAAAAAAAAATTGCATGTAGTTCTTAAACAGGGGCACAACAGCGGTTCGCCGTGATGAGCTGTACAGCTCTTGTGTTGGTCCTTTCCTCCGTGGATAAATGGTCTTAACTAAATCTTATTTAAATGCTGTGGTGGAAGATATGAACTTGGTTTAACTCAGGGATGGGGGTGAGGATGTTAACTTGATACAAAATCTGAAAATTAAATATTTAAATTTCTTCGTGCAATTGTTGATCGATTTTGGATTGATATTTGTATCACCGGTAACTACGATTTGACTCGCATAATACTACATTCGACCCCTACTAGCTTTCTATGAGATATTCAATATACGTTAAATAGATGCGTCAAAGAGAAAACAGTAGATCACAACATCAGTTTTTTTTCGATCTTTATCAAAAGGTACTGGTTACAAAGCTCGACAAGCTTCGGTTTTTCTAAGTTACCCCCACCCCATGCATGATAAAACTTTAAAATGAAAACATCAGCTTAAAAATGGATCTAGTTTGTTCAAAAATGGAGAACCGAGCATAGAATCACATCAGAATAATGCAAAAAAACTCTAATTAAACTGCATTTGGTCTCAAAACACCAAATAAACTTCATGTGTTTCGAACTTAATTTAGTCTCACAAGGAGAAAACGGTTAGAAAATAGAGAAAAGAGTGAGTTTGAGAGTAAATTAATTAAACCGCTTCGTTATCGCAAGTACCATTTTAATACTTTGCTTTTCCATGTAATATCGATACAATGTTGCAATTTTATTTTAAAAATTCCATCATCTAAGGAGGGTAAACCAAAAACGTTCCAAGCTTTTTCTACAATGGGAACTTCAATAGAATTGGATGAGACATTTCAGCTCGAATTTTTATTCAAAATATTTTAAATGAACTTTCAAATTGAAGCGGCGATTTATTCAGCCAATCAGAATCGAGCATTTTACATGCAGCGCTTAGCAAAATAAACTGATTTAAATTCTGTAGTGGAAGACATTAACTTGGCTATCTGAGGGAAAGGACTGAGGATGTTAATTTGATCCAAAATCTGAAAAAAGAATGTTTTAATTTTTTCGTGCAATTGTTGATCGATATTGGATTGATTTTTGTAAAACCGGTAACTACGATTTGACCCGTATGATACTACATTCGTCCCCTACTAACCTTCTATGAAAGGGAGCTCAACAAGCTTGGCGTATTTCAGTTGTCCCCCCTGAATGATACAAAATAAAATGAAAACTTTCATTACACCAATGGATCTGTTTTGCCGTGTCTGTACAAAACAGTCCCATACAAAACAGTCCGGAAAAGTATGAAAATGAACGAAAAAACAATTCGATACAAAACAGTCCGAAAAACAGTCCCAATTAATAATTTTGTAACAAGCCGGCAGGCCGAGAATTTTTCGTTGTCCAACAAGCATAATGAACAAAATAGTGACCGCCGCAGTCGCGCCAACGTGTTGCTAGCTTGCCAACAGAGGTTAGGACTTTATACGAAATTTAGAGCCGGTTATTGCTGCAAAAGCGCGCCCACCGGCGACCTTAAACCGGACTGTTTTGTATTGGACTGTTTTATTCCTCCATTACATGATTTTTTGGACTATTTTGTATTGGACTCTTTTGTATGGGACTGTTTTGTATATGCACCCTATTTTGCATGTCCCGAGCACTGAGTCACATTAGAATAATGCAAAAAGCACGAATTAAACTACATTTGGTCTCAAAACAGAAAATAAACAACATGTAGTCTGATTTGAATCTGGTCTCACATGGAGAGAACGGTTAAAAAATAGAGAAAAGTGCGATTTTGAAAGTAAATTAGTTAAACTGCTTCTTCATAGCCAGTCCACTATTAACACTTAGCTTTTCCATGTAATATCGATCCACTGTTTTATGCAATTTATGCAAAAATTTATCATCCAGGGAGGGTATAACCGAAAATCGCGGTAGACCAGTAAGCCGAAGGGTCAACAAACCGAAAATAGGATTGCCATTCCAACAAGCCGAAAACTATCATTATTATGCAATATCACAACAGATTGTCATTGTTTTTATGCAATTGTTACGTAATTCTGATGCAACTTCGACTTCAAGATATGGCGGTTTGTTGCTTTTTCAAACACTCCTTCTTCTACAATGTGTACTTCAATAGAATTAGATGAAACATGTCAGCTTGAATTTTCATCGCCCTAGTCGACAAGAGACTGTTTTTTCAATTTGTTTATAAAATATAAATCAGACGACAGAACATTATAACGACATGACATTTCGACGACAAATTAGCGTGTTAAAATAATAAAAATGAGCTTTCAAATTGAAGCGGCGATTTATTTTCCTCAGAATTTTAATTGGAGAATTGTGTGTAGCGTGGTCTTAAAGTCTCATCAAAAATGGTTTTCGTCCTACAGCTGTCGTTTTTTTACCGGACGCAGTAACTACTGTGATAGATGCGGCCGTGAAAACTAACCTACATTTCCTCCTACTAACCTACATTTCCTCCCATTTTTCAGATTTTCAATTTCCTTTATTGATTTACTATTATAATGACTGGATGCGTGGTCTTACGATGCACGGAAAGAAGAAAAAATGTATTAACAATAGTTAAGTTAATTTATTCACCTTTAAAAATTAATCTTGTTGATCCATGTTTTTTGTATAATGATTCAGTTGTGACAGTATTTGTTTCAGTTTCGAGAGCAAGTGACTTGTTGCGATCATTGAAAATGAGGAGGAACTTTGTATTCGGGTGTGTTTTAGTTTTTTCTTTTTATTTTCTAGGCAAAATCAGGTGCCATAACTAGTCATCGGACATAGTTGGGGATATATCATATTAAAGCCATTTCAGTTAAGATTTGAACGACTCTTAAAAATGTTAAAAACATTTTACTTGTGTTCAGAAAAACTAGTTTGACATTTTTGATTTTTCGTCGAATTCCGAGCAAGTAAAGCAAGCCAATCGGCTTATTTATGCTTAATTAAAGCTGTTGGCAATTGGTTTTTGATTTTCACAAGATGTTTTTTGTTTTTTTTTTCAAAAATTGGGGTCGTTTATGTTATTCCGTCCAATTTTTGAATTTTTTTATTACTCAATTTATAAATACAGAGTCCAAAGCAATGATCGCACTAGTTCGTTTTTTTAATACAAGTGCGATCATTTTAATTTTCGACCGGTTTCTAAAAAGGCCGAGTTTTAGCAGATATTTGGCATTTTTTTCCTGTAGCTTTTTTCTGCGTTTCTGTCAGCGGTTATTTTATCAAACTTGAATAGTTTTTTACAGAATTATTGTTGTGGCTATTCCGGATTATTTGTAAATAAAAGATTTTGAAATGGTGCTGAAATTTGATTGGCTAATTCTAGCTAATCAAATTGAAGCGAAATACTTTCAGCTCAAGATGTTTAAAAATTGATTTTTGTGCGGAATAATTGAAAAAGACTCAAAAACTGTTGTCAAATTTTC